GCTCCGAGGCGCCGCGCCCTCACCACCCTCGTCGCCGGCCGCGCCCCCGCCGGATCCATCTCCCCCTCGCCCCGGTGGTTCGTACTCCGGCCGTCTACAGCTCCGGCGAGCTCGGATCCGCCGCCACCTCGATCCATGTGCGAACCCTAGATCTGAGAATCGGCTTGTCTTTTGCCTCTCTCTGAGTAAATTTTTGCAATCTTTGACATGACATAACTTCCTAATCGTAGATCCAATTCGTGCGTGTAGCATATCAAAATGTCCATCTCGACGAGTACATCATTTCATCTCATTGCATCATTTTCATTTGAGCTCATCTTGATGCCCAAAATGCTGTTGGAAGAGGGCTATGTGATGATAGTTGCAGATCTGTTTCAGCAAATGCATTTTTGTCATTTTTGCCATGATTAATGTGTGCATGCTTTGATCCTGAGCTCTACATGTGTTTTGTTGTATTCCATATCATCTTTACAGGGGTGTATGCCATGTATTTTTGTGATCTTTGTGGTGACTAGCACAAGCATGCAAAGTAGCTTACTCAACGATGTTGATTTCAGGGACTTAGAATTTCACTAAGTCCTTGCCCTGTCATTATTTTTATGCCATATGTTCATGTTGTTTCCTAGTGATCTGTGCCTATTTTGAGGATGATCAGTAAGGATGTTTTGTAGATAATGTTGTGCTCTTTCCATCCATGTATTTGTTTGCAATTATGGAGCACCCTAGCTTGAGTCAACCGAGCTCTACTTTTGCTATAAAATGTTCTTGGTAGATTGTTAACATGTTTTGCAGCGCCACCTCGGGGAAACTTGAGGGTTGGTTTTAGTTGTACGGATTGCTTATTTGAGTGTGCCCTGAGAACGAGATATGTGCAGCTCCTATCGGCATTTGTCGGCACATTCGAGCGGTGTTGCTGGACTTGTTTTACCATTGCCGAGATGTCTTGTAACCGGGATGCCGAGTCTGATCGAATTGTCTTGGGAGAAGGAATATCCTTCGTTGACCGTGAGAGCTTGTGATGGGCTACGTTGGGACTCCCCTACAGGGATTTGATCTTTCGAAAGCTGTGCCCGCGGTTATGGGCAGATTGGAATTTGTTAATGTACGGTTATAGATAACCTGAAACTTAACTTAATTAAAATGCACCAACCGCGTGTGTAACCGTGATGGTCTCTTCTCGGCGAAGTCTGCGAAGTGAACACGGTGTTGGAGTAATGCTTGACGTAGGTTGTTCTAGGATCACTTCTTGATCATAGTTGTTCGACCGTGCTTTTGCCTTCTCTTCTCGCTCTCATTTGCGTATGTTAGCCACCATATATGCTAGTCGCTTGCTGCAGCTCCACATCATACCTTTACCCTACCTATAAGCTTAAATAGTCTTGATCGCGAGGGTGTGAGATTGCTGAGTCCCCGTGACTCACAGATTACTTCCAAAACCAGATGCAGGGACCGATGATGCCGCTCCAGATGATATGACCGAGCTCAAGTGGGAGTTCGATGAAGACTCTCGTCGTTACTACGTATCTTTCCCAGATGATCAGTAGTGGTGCCCAGTTGGGGCGATCGGGGACTTTGTCGCATTTGGGGATTGATCTTTATTTTGGTTCCGTAGTCGGACCTTGAGTGTATTGGATGAATATAATAACTTATTTATGTATTTGTGTGACATGGCGAGTGTAAGCCAACTATGTACTTTTCCCCTCTATTTATGTACATGGGTTGTTGTGAAGATTACCTCACTTGCACATTGCTTTCAATGTAGTTATGCCTCTAAGTCGTGCTTCGACACGTGGGAGATATAGCCGCATCGAGGGCGTTACAAATCTTTCCCTAGATTTTATCTCTGCCTTGCTGGAATCTTTTGCGGCTATGTCCATGGTTAGCCACGTACAATCCGAAGAAGAGGCATCATTTTCACATTTCACTTATTTCTGGCTTCTTCATGCAACAATTTTTTTTCACCATAAGTAAGCTTATCATGAAGAGCTGAATTGCTAAGTGACACAACAAGCGTGTTCCAGCTATCAAGCATCGAACTCAGCAACAACAATGCGTGTACCTCATCCTCAAAATTGTCCTTCGTGGCTGAGAGTTGATTTATATGGAATTGGAAGACACATTCAAGTGCTCAATCACATTATTGCCATGTCGGTACTCAAGCTTACAAGTATTTTGATTACCAAGGCCTTGTTCATTGATGTCTTCCTTTCATTCATAGACTCTAATTTTTTTACATCTCATATGTATTTACGGCATTTGCAACATGGTGAAATAAAATTGCGGTTTATGTAGAGCATACCTGTTGTCTTTCTGTGTAGCACTATTCATTCTTCTTACGTGACACCGTAGAGTACCTTGTCTTCCACAATTGGATCATACAAATATGTTCAATAAATGTCGTCTTTCACCATGGGCTTCCATAGTGAGTAATTGAAAGAATCAAATTTTATCATGAAGGTTGTCGTAGCACCCTCGTCCATAGCCATTGTGAGCAACACTTCCAACAACAATCAAACAACTAAATTAGAAAGCTCCTAAGACACCAAAACTTTGATGCCACTCTGTTCGGAATTAGCACACAAATACACTTATGATGAACTAAGAAATGATGTGGAAATAAAGTAATCTCAACACCATTTCATGTATTAATTCAGAGACCGTTACACAACATGGAAGGAAACATATGTAGTAACATATATGGAGGAAATAGCCCTTGCAACACTCCAGACACACCCCAGACAGTGTTGGAGTCAGGAGAAACTCTTTGAATAACAACATAACATCAACACACAGAGACACAAGATATTTTTACTTGGTTTTAACCCCAACCTTGTCCCTATCCAAAGTTCTCCTGACCCCATACATCATTTGAGAGGCGTCTGGGGTGTTGCGAGAGCTATTTGCATCATATATGTTGCTGCATATGTTTCCTTTCGTACTAAGCAACAATCCTTAAATTAGTGCATGAAGTGGTGCTGGGATTAGTTTATTTCTGCTACACTTTTTCGATTCACCATAAGTGTGTTTGCATGCTAATTCCCAACAACATGGTAGAGGTTGGGGATGTCCAATCACGTCCTTAGGTTTTTTTTTCTTCACACACCCTTATAGGTTGGCCCTACTTGCAGGATTCAGCGTCAAAACGGGCTAAACATGTAATTGAGCTTGTTATTGGAAACTAGTTGAATACTTGTTGAGCACATGTTTATATCGATGTACTCTGACTCCCATGGGTGAAGCAATGATTGCTCGGTTTGTTTGAAACCGCATGAAAACATTGTGAAGTTGGAAATAACCTTCTTTATACATATTTTCATTAATAGATTGATAAATGAGCTCTAGGAAGTTATCAACAGTGTAACATGTAACGGATCCTAGGAATGGAGACGATCGGTTCTTAGGGTCTTCCTCCATGTTATCAGCAGCGTAGCGGATCCTACTACTCTCAAAGTTGTAGCATGCCGCTATTGCGTTTGATCTTGCACCGCTGAACCTTCGCATCACATTGGCCTCAAAAAAAGCAACTTGTGATTGACATTGCATTTGACACGGGGGTCGATACTAAGCTAGTGAAGGAAATCAGGGCTATGCCATCTAGTTCCGCGAATTGCAAATTCGTTTTGAGCGTCAAACTTGGAGGCCCATAATCTAGCCAAGTTCTCTCATTCTTCAGATCGTGGAATCCATGTCTGGCTTGCCCAACCCCATGATCATCTTGATATTTCTATCTCGTTAAACCCTGATCAATAAAGCTTGGCTGATTATACTAAAATAAAGCTGAATACTTCTGGTTTTGCGTTAAAGTGGCCAAAAAAGAAAAAAATTGTGGTCAATCGCTAAGTTGTCATAAAAGTTTTTGTTCCACTTTAATAATCCACTTATTTCCTTTCGAAAAAGATTGTTGGAAGTTCTGCTTTTGACGGGTCCTTTGGAGGCTGGCGTTGCCGAGCAAGAGGGAAAAGAACATATGCAATCCATGCTTGAAACTAAAGCTTTCCGTGTCCACGAGCATATCACCCTATTCACCTGGCGAAGAAAAGAATTCGTGACCCCGTGCAAGGAGAGGAGAGGAGATCCGTCCCTTGCAGACCGCAAAAGCAGCATACTACCTGGCTGGCTTACTCGCAAAGAAACGGCAGAATATCTGTGGCTTCTTCGTGTGCGTCTCTTAGCTGCGCGCCGACCTTTCCACCAAAAGAATGCATTTCCGTGGCGGTTATATATGCCGCCGATCACCACGCCGTAGCAGCACACCACGACCGGAGCGGCATAGAAAAGGGAGCGAGCTGAGCACACGAGCACGCACGGCGCATCGATCTCGTGTTCGGCAGCTCAGCTAGCAGCTAGCATGGCGAGCGGGGGCATCAAGACGATGGCCTCGGGCCTCCTCTTCCTGAACCTCATCATGTACGTCGTCGTCGCCGTCATCGCCGGCTGGGCCGTCAACTACAGCATCGAGGACAGTGCCCACTCACGTAAGCCCATCGTCTGCAACCTCTGATCAGAAGTTCAGAGCCTGAAGAATACTCGTCTGTTTGATCTTGTCCTGGTGTTGATGGATGTGCATGTATGTTCGATTGTTCGTGCTCGTGCAGTGAGGGGCGCGTCGCCGCCGGTGCGGCTGTTCCCGGTCTACTTCCCGATGGGCAACCTGGCGACGGGGTTCTTCGTCATCTTCGCGCTCCTGGCCGGCGCGGTCGGCATCTCCACCTCGCTCACCGGCCTGCGCGACGTCACCGAGGGCTACCCCGCCAGCATGATGTCCGCCGCCGCCTCCGCCCTCGTCACCTGGACCCTCACCCTCCTCGCCATGGGACTCGCGTGCAAGGAGATCAGCATCGGCCTGAGGCCCCCCAGCCTGGTAATTAAGCACCAGTAAATCAATGGAGAATCTGTCGAGCCCATCTCTTGTCCTTGTGGAACCTAATTAACGATGTTCATCTGTGTGTGTGCAGCGCGCGCTGGAGACGTTCACGATCATCCTGGCCGGAACGCAGCTGCTCTGCGTCGGGTCGCTGCACGCCGGGGCGAACGCGGCCATCGTGCAGACGCCCATGGGAGTCAGAGCACGGGTCTGATGATCGGTCGACGCAGGCCGGTCGTCGATGGAGTGTGGTCTATTTGAAGGTGCAGCATCATCTTGGCAAGGATTATTCGTTTGCGTGTGCGTGCGTGTGATGTGAATATGCGGATTATATATGCTACCGTGTCGGGGTTCTCAGGGTGTGCGTGCGCTTGCGGTGAAATTGTGTCCGGCCGGTGGGCGTGACGATCACATAATATGTCGAGTACTAGTATTTATTCTCTAATTTGTGGGACTGTCGCATTCTGCACAAAATCTGGCAAATATATAACGTTGCTCATGCAAAATCTGGCAAATATTACTACTTCCGGGCTCCATTTATACAACAGCGTATTGAACGACTAAACGGTAACGCAGCTGCGTCACTGAATAGAGACAGATGAAGCAGAGCTTTCACAATATTTTTTTAAACCGGGCATTACCCCTTTCCATTACTTTCACAAAATTAGAAGCAGCTCTGTTTTTTTTGGAGAAACACAAGCAGTTCTGTTTTTTGTGAGACATCCACGATTTCGCTCGCACAATGTGGTTACACCAGACGGGGGCCCAAACGCCAACAAACGTGACGACCCGCATCAACTCACGGGCAGGCAAGGCTTCTGGCGCGGGAGTTTCACCGCAGCCGGGCACGCGAGCCCTCGGCGATACAGCAGCTCGGTCATGACGCGGTAACCATGCTGCGTGAGGTGGATGCCGTCCCAGCTGGGACGCCTGCTCGGGTCCGCGCACACCGTCGTCCCCGGCGCGCCGCACAGCCTGTTGTGATCAAAGTTATACTCCCCGCCGCCCGCGCCGCAGCATGCCCTACGCAGGGCCGCGCCGCCCTCGAAGCCGAGCCGCGGCGCGTGGCGGAGGATCTCGAGGTAGGCGGCGAAGTAGTCGGCGTAGGCCACCGTCGCGTCCGGGTACGACCGCCGCAGCTCCCCGACGGCGCGGCGCAGGCGCTCGTTGTGCGCGCGCGCCAGGACGTTGAAGGAGACGAGGCAGCCGTCGCCGTCGCGCAGCGACGCGGGGCTCGACGCCGTGGCTGCGGTCAGGTAGCTCGGCATGCACCCGATGGGGAAGTTGCCGGGGATGACCATCCTCGTGGCGCCCATGTCCAGCACCTCCTTGGCTGCGTCTGCTACGGATTGCACGACCTCGGGTACGAGTGAGAGGGCGTGCGCCAAGCTCTCCGCGCTGCGGGTAGCATTGCTGATCGGGTCGTGTCTGTCGTTCGTCCGCCGGGGCTGTAGGAAGACGTAGTTGTAGTCGTTGCCGCCGATCTCCCCCAGCATCACCAGTGAACTCGCTAGTTTCTTATCTATCTCTGCGATACAAAGTTAACTTTTTGCATCAGCTTAATTTGTGCTTTGGTGGCAAGTTAATTACAGTAGCTTAATGAGAAGGTGAAGGGCAGTAGACCTCGAGGGGAGTTAGTTGTGGAGCTCATGAACTCTTTGAACCATAGCTGGACTCCAAGGGAGCTGTTGGTGTGGGAGACGGTGAGCCCCCTGTTGGCCAGCGCCGTCGTGCTGAGCGCGGTGGCTCCGGCGACGGCGAAGTTGACGCCGTGCGTGAAATCCGCGCGCCTGTCGAGGTACGGGTTGAGCAGCGGGAGGCCGAGATCTTCAGCTGCACAACCACAGATGCTCGCTCGTTTAAAGACAGTAGAGAGCTAGAGAGCTAGCATGCATTGTACTAGTAGTCGGCAAATGGACATGTGGATGTACCAAGGAAGTCGATCATGAGGAAGCCGTCGGAGCAACGGCCGGTGGGGCGGCCGATGGTGACACCGTAGGGAAGGCCCGTGGTGTAACGCAGCATTCCGGTGTCGCCTTCCCGGAGGAGGTTCCCCGTGTCCGAGATGGAGTCCCCGAAGTTGTAGATGGCCGTAATGCTGTCAACCGTTGCCTCCGAAGGCGAGACCTGCGGCGGCGGCGGCGCTGCGACGCCTGTGCCCGCGAGGAGCAGCACCATGAGTAGGCGACCTGCTAGAGCGAGAGCCATGGATAATTTGCCCTCTTCGTACCCACGGAACTAGCTGAGCCCCCCTACACATATACACGAGTGCGGTATGCAAAGCTAGCGCATGTCCCTCTGTCCTCACAGAAATACACAGATACAGTTGGTAGCTATGAGCATTTGGAACGGCAGCAGCCGGCGCAATAAGGGTCCTGCCGGACAGGGTGACATGGCAAAAAAAGCCAATTACATCCATATACAATTTTGCTTTGCAAAAGGACCCCTAAAAAAAGCAATCGGGTCCTTACCCTGAAAACAAAAGCAATCGGGGCCTTGCCTCCTACCAATCCGGTGGGATTGCTCCGGGGCGTGGCCGGCGCCGCCGCCGCTCACGGCCGTGCGCTGCCTCTGCCTGCTCGCGGCCGCCTGCGCACACGCGGCGAGCGGCCGGTGGAGGGCAACAGGTGGAGCCGCTTCGAGAAGGACCTGCAGCTCCCCTCCAACTGCAACGTCGACGGCATCCGCGCCAAGTTCGAAAACGAGGAGCTCACCATCACGCTACCTGCTACTTCTTAAGATGCGTTGGTTTTTTTCTCGAGGAGAAAGAATGATGCAACACAATAGAGATAAGTATTTCCCTCGGTTAAGAACCAAGATATCAATCTAGTTGGAGAAGAACACGCAAATCATCAATACTTGTACAAACAATCAAACATTTGCACCCAACACGATAAAGGGGTTGTCAATACCTTCACGGTCACTTGCAAATGTGAGATCTAACCGAGATAGATAAATAAAAGATAAAATATTTTTGGGTTTTTTGGTTTATGTATCTGAAAATAAAAGAGTGCAAAATAGTAGATCGAAAACTAATATGATGGAAAATAGACCCGGGGACCATAGCTTTTGTTGGGGCATGCAGTAATTTCAAAAAAAATTCTACGCACACGCAAGATCATGGTGATGCATAGCAACGAGAGGGGAGAGTGTCGTCCACGTACCGTCGTAGACCATAAGCGGAAGCGTTATGAGAACGCGGTTAATGTAGTCGTACGTCTTCACGATCCGATTGATCCAAGTACCGAACGTACGGCACCTCCGAGTTCAGCACACGTTCAGCTCGGTGACGTCCCACGAACTCCGATCCAGCAAAGCTTCGATAGTTCCATCTGCACGACGGCGTGATGATGGTGATGATGATGCTACCGACGCAGGGGCACCACACACGGCTAAAAGATCAACTGGTCAACTTGTGTCTCTATGGAGTGGAGGGGGGGGGGAGAGGCCGGCCCTCCTAGGCGCGCCCCAAGGGGAGTCCTACTCACACCGGGAGTAGGACTCCAACCCTTCCAAGAGTAGGAGTAGGAGAGAGGGAAGGAGGAGAGAGGGGG